CCCTAAGGGATGCAGGCACTGGAAGGTGGAGGATTAGTCTGTTGTGCCAATGCCTGGCCACTCTGCTCTAGTTTTACTGCAATTCTGTATGCAGGCATCTGTATGGAGGCTGTTCCTCTTCCTAACAGGGATGCACGCTCTTGTGCACACACTGCACCTGCTACAGGGTGCTCAGTGGAAGCTACCAACACTGGGACATCCTGGACTGAGCGACGCAGACCTTACCACTCTGAGGCATGCAGTAACTGAATCTCCTGAATGACAATCTCACAGAATTAACTAAACAAAAAATGGCAGCCATACCTTCAAGAAATCAGGTCAGGCATAATGAGAATCCGCTGGGAGGCGGACTCTATTCTCTCACCTTGTTTTTCCTGGAAATCTGTAAAAGTGAGGACTTGTTCTTCCGGTAGGTGGATAAACAATAATGAAATGGAAAGTAACATGTTTCTTGTGGTATCATGGATGCAAAGGGAAAAATCAGGAAGATCTGTCACTATAAAATCCACCCGCTCTCTAGTCATCCCCCGGCTTTGAAACAGAAATCACTGTCTCAGGCAGAAGTATCTTTGAGAAGAACCCCCCTCTGCTTCTTCTCTGGGGAAGGGCAAGAAGGAAGGAGAGCAACCGCCACCACCACAGGTGGTTGGGCTGGCTGGGCCCCTTCTGCTCCTCCACTCACAGCTCTCCGTCACAGCTCTGCCATTCTCCTACGCTGGGAATGGCCCTGTTTCTGGAAGGACAGAGGGTAGAGCTGCAGAAATGGCTTGGTTTTTCCTCAAACACTGCAGAAAGCTTTTCAAATCAGAACCTGAGTCTGGAAAGGGGAAATCTTTGAGAATGGCTTCAATCGGCTTTCCACGTTCACAAACAAGTGACCAGCCACCAGGCTCCCAAAGTGTTCCCATCTCCAACAATGAAGAATGGATTAAAGGGAGGGTTGGTGAAAAACTTACTGTGACCACACATCACTAAAGGGGACTGTTGCAGATTCGTGAGGCTCTCAAAGCTCAACTGTCTGGTCTGCTTGTCCCCTAGCAGCACTTCCCATTCATCCTCTTTTTAAGAGTTAAAAAACAGAAAAAAGTTCATTTGTTCAATGCCACAGATGTCACTGGACAACTCCTTGTGCTTGGTGCTACCAGGAGGAGGAAAAAAATCTGAGTGCTGGTGATGATGAAAGTAGGTAAGTGTGTAAGAGATGATACAGGTAAAGCATTACTGGGTGTTCTCAAGTATCTCTACATGTAAATTTGTTTTCAAGACCCAGCCTGACTTCATGATGCAATACTACACGGGCCATTTAGTTATATCCTGTGCTTTTCTTTGTAACATTTATTCATATACTTGAAAGGCAAGAACCCAGATGTTTCTCCTCTACTGATTTATTTACCAAATGCCCACAAAGGCCAGGACTGGGCCAGGCTCTCAATCTGGGTATCTCATGTGAGTACTTTGGAGCCAAGGACTGGAGCCTTCACCTGCTGCCTCGCAGGGTTTGCCTTAGCAGGAAGCTGGCACCAGGGGCAGGGCTAGGATTCAAACTCAGGTCCTCCATCCCAAATGGCGTGTTCACTCTGATGCCAAACACCTGTCACTCAGTTTTATTCTGGATTTAAGCAGCAACAGGAAAGCTTCTCTGGATGGCCCTGGCATTCTCTTTCCTATTCCACTCAGCTCACTGAACTTCTCCCACATCTGCGTTGACATCAATCAGCAACCAGGTCAGCTTGGCCTGTGTGCTGGGGTAAATATCTGGTGCAGGAGTGGAGGTGTTGCTTGGGACACCCACATCCCACAGAGTTGGGGTTCCAACTCTGATTCCAGCTTCCTGCTGATGTGCACCCTGGGAGGCAGCAGCAGGTACTGGGGTCCCTGCCACCCACATGAGAGTCCTGGATCGTGTTCTGAGAGATCCTGGCTTTGGATTAGTCCATTCCCAGCTATTCACGGGTACCTGGGAAATGAAGAGGCAGTTGGAAGAGTTCTGAGAGCTTGTCAAACAAAATGAGCAGAAACAAATGCATTAAACACACACATAGACACGCACACCTAAGGCCTCGCATCTGTATTTTCATAATTAACTGCCTTTGGTAGGAAAGAGACAGCAGTTCCTCACATCCCTGGCTGGCTCATCCTGCCCGCCATGCCGACGGCACAGGCAGCATGGGGAGAACGCAGAGCAGACTCACCCCAGCTTTGGGGACCCTGGCTTCCCTCCCATGTACCCTTTCTCTCTGCTGCCTCCGGGGTCAGGTGGAGGGCTACCAGATGGCTCTATCTCCCTCCAAGGGGTACCTAAGAACATAAAAACGTTGCTGCCTACTTTTATTGCAGCCCCTTCTCATTTTCCTCCATCTGCCCTCCATATGGTTGCTGCAGCTCCATGAGGCTCTGGAGCACACAGGTTCTGTTAATGAGGGCTGCCAATCTGACCAAGGAGGAGGCCAGGAGCTCTCCTCCGCCAGTGCAAAGAGGTACTACTTGATCAACACTCAACCTGTTCAGAGTTCAAGCCACTTTATCATGGACCCCAACAGAAAATCAAGTCTATGTTTGCTATATTTCTGTTAGCATCAAAACCACAGGGCAGCCTTTCTGCTGCATTTTCTCCAAGTGCTGCGCTTGCAGTTTTGACAAAGTGCATGGGGCTTCCACGTGGGCATCCCTCTGATACCTACATCAATCACCCTTCTTTCCAAAGGTCTTGGCCTTTTCCTGTTTCAAAGAAAAAAAAAATTCTTCTTGGAGGGGAGGAAAATCGTTACCATGTGTGTCCTTGCAAATGTCTATGCTGAACTCTCAAGTCCCATGCACGTCTTCCCCCACTCCAACTCGGAGGAAATGAGTTCCTGGCATCGAGTGGGGCTCTGCACAAGGTGTTCCCTGCTGGCCCGCATTTCGGCTGGCGCTGGGAGGTCAAGTTATGACCTTTTTGTGCAATGCATGCATGAGGCTGAGGTGACAGATCTCATCCTGGGGTTTGCTAGAATCAGAGAAGAATGCAGGACTGAAACTCACAGAGGCCCTGTGCACGCTGAGACCCCACGATGGCATCCCTGTTGGGGTGATTCATTAGTCCCAGCAGGGAGTAGCAGCAACCTGTTAGTGAATACCCGGGTTGTATTTTGCTAAAGAAAACACAAACTAATGACAATCTGGGGGGTAGGTGGGGCTGGGGGAGGCACAACGGGAGGAGGGAGATCCGGTGAGACCTCATTAGGCGTCAATCATTGCCGTGCTTAGCAGTATGACCTACATTCAAGTCTTGTATTCTTGAGGAGACTCTGAGGGTTATTAACAAGTAGAAGCCAGTCAAGCCCCGCTGTATTACAGGTGCTCTCCCCATGACAAAGAACCTGCCAGGATCCCAGCAAACCATCTGTGTACAGGCAGCCTGGTCATCAGGACGTGGGTTAACTAAACCCAGACCCATGTTGGCTGCATGTGACGAGGCAAAAACCCAGGAATGGTGCACACAGGAAAAATGAATCTATCGACACAAAAGCAGCCCAGCCAAGGCCACAACAACACTTTTTTTCTCTTGCAAAAAATGACAACTATTGATTCTACCCGTCTCCCAAGCCATATGCAAAGCAAAGCCATGTGGGTACTTTAAAAAGTTCACAGGAGATGCACAATACGAAGAAACGATGTACGGATGTCAACGTTTACCTGGATCTGAAGCGGATTTCTCTATTTCATTGCCAAGTTTCCCAAGTCCCCTTGAGATCAGACAGTAAAGGCACTGTGGCACTGTAGGCTACACTCTGTGGCCATTTGGTTACTTTTGGTTTTCAGCTCAATCACCAGGATAACACACACTACACACACACACACACACACACACACACACACACACACACACACACACACACACACACATCCCTGTGTTTCTCACTGTCCTTCACAGAGTCAGCTGGGACCAGACACCTCTGATGTCCAGGTAAAACTACCAGGAGGCCAGAACCTCTTATTCCCACCCAAAGTGTCATCTCATGATCCTTCATGCCTGCCAAAACAAAACAAAACAACACAAAACCACCAGAGTGCCCTGCACTAATGTAAGCCACAACTGCCCTTTTTCTGGGTGCAATCGATCCTCTGCACTGTGGTGGGTATCACCAGGGCTCAGGGCAGTAGCAAAAAAGTGCATTTCATGGAAGAGGGTGGAGTCACAAAAGTCTTGGTGTAAAAGCCCAGGACTGGTTCATCCGCATAATTGCTCCAGGCTGCAGATGACAAATTCTGCTGAAGAGAATCAAGTGCTCTCCCTTCTGTGATTAAAGCTAGTTGAGGGCCAATCAGGTGGTAAATGGAACAACAATGTTTCTAAAATGTGCAAGAGTGGCAAAGCTCAAAGGAGCTAGAGGAGGAGAAACCTGACCCTCTCCAGCACCAGTGAACACCGGTTTCTACCCAGAGGGGCTGTAGGAGTCCCACTGGCTGTTAGCAGGCAGCTTGTGGACCACTTGGAAAAAAGGCAGAAGTTGAAGCTGAGCTTGCAGCTGCCAGGAAAGCTGCCTTCACTGCCTCGCACTGACATCTGGGTGCGAGATGCCCCCTACTCAACGCCCAGCCCAGCACTTCCTCCAAGCCAGGTGGACACAGCTCACTCAGTCCAAGCCTCTGCCATTTCTTCCTCCTGAAGGACTAGGGAATGCTGGCTTTCTGCCAGCTGCTTCAGGTTGATATTTGCTTAAAAAAGGGGGGTGGCGAGCAGAGAAACTGGAACATCTGCCTTGAGATCCTATCGCTGTCTTTGTACATGCGTCCCAGGTAGCGGCTGTGCACACACATGCGTCCATTGACTGGATGCAGAGGGGACCGCAGCGCCAGGCACAGAAGGAGCGTCCTGCAGCGCGTGGCGGGTCACCCTGGCCTGGCATCTGAGGACACCGGGGGCCCGGGGCAGGGGGAAGCCAGCTGCAGCCCTAGCCAGCAGCGGGTCTGGGGCCACCCTGGGCCATCCAGGGGGGCGGGGCGCCGGGGAGACTTACCTGTTTCTTTGTCCTGGACTTCTTCCAGGTGCAAGTCATTCAGGAGGTGCTCTAGAATCTTCTCCGGTGTCCCGGACACCACCACGTATCTGTCGGAGAGCAAGGAATCCGCTGAGTCCTCCTCGGCCGAGGACTGGGAGCGGCTACTCCACTCGTCGTCGTCATCTTCCTCGTCGATGTATTTGAAATAAGGCACATCGAAGGTGGGCAGCGCCGCCGCCTCTTTCCTCTCCAGTCGCGGGTCAAAGACCCTCAGCCGGGAGCTGCCCATGGCGCACCGGGGCTAACAAAGGCATCCCCCCGCCCCCCCACCTCGACGCTCCCGGAGCGCGCGGTGCCCTGCTCTCGCCGGGAGAACCGAGCGCGTCTGGCTGCGCGCTGCTCTGCAGTCAGCTAGAACGCCGCCGCCGCCGGGGAGGGAGGCGGAGAGAAGCGGGAGGGACGAGGGAGGGAGGGAGGCAGGGAAAGAGGGAGGCGGGCAGACACGGCGGAGAGAGGGCCCGGGGGCTGCGGGGAACTCTCACCTCCAATCGCCGTCCGCGCCGCTCGCCGTGGGGGCTGGGCCGCTGCCGCCGCCCCGCACTCTCTTCAGCACCAAGACGTCCCGCTCTTGCTCCCGCACCTGCACCGTGCTCACCTCCTCGTCTTGCTTTGATGGTGAACGGGAGAAGGAGAGAGGGAGAGAAGAGATGAGTCAGGGATGGGGGAGGAGTTGGGGAAGGGGAGGTAGGGGCAGCCCCAATAACTCCCCCCTCCTGCCCCCAGGACCTGGCTAAAGCTGCTGCGGGGCTGCAGCGTCCCCAGAGTTTTCACCTGTCAGCTTCCAGACCTAAAGGAGCACAGCCCAAGGTGCGAGCCAGTGGGATTCCAGGAGCTTGTTCTGTACAAAACCACTGAAATCCGAGAATGCCTGGCACACTCATTGCACTGTGCAATATTCTTTCACCTGGTCAAACGCTCTCAGAATGGCGACAGCGTTGAAAACTAACATGATTGAACTACCTGAACTCTGGCTGAGACTTCACATTCCATGTGCAACATCATAGTCATTTCACTTCACCGTCTTACTTCCGAAGGTAGGCAGAAAGCTACCTCCACCTCCATCATTTTGGCTCATCTTTTTTTGTTTCGTTTCAAATTTGAGATGGCCCTCACAATGGACACTGCGCTTGTTTGGCTAGGACGCAGGCAAATGCCAATGCCCCCCGCAACCCCCCTCGTTGGGTCGCGGCAAGGCTGAGCCACCATTCATTTCTGCACACGCAGCTTCCCGGCCTGACCCAGCACCCAGCGTGGCCCGCTGACGTGGCCCTGTCACAGAGGGCACTCCTTGCTGACCCAGCAGTGTGGACAGGCACTGCCGGCCCCCTAGTGATGAACTCTCACAGAGGGTTTAGGGCGAGCCCCTCCTGGATGCAGCGTCCAGCAGGGGTGGGAGTGGGAAGGACCCCAAGATGCTTGTAAGAACATTAAGCTTCTTTCTTTCTGGTGCAAAGAGCAAGATTAGAGTAAGACAAATTGACTATGAGTAGGTGGCACCTTAAAAAATTATGTCACCTCTTTTATATCAGCTTTCTGTTGCCACTGACAGCGAATTCCACCTCTAATTAGGTACAAACACGAAGGAGAAAGGCTGTGGACTCCCCTTCGCCTGCTTCTCACTAAGGGACAAGAAGTCCCTGATCCAGTGGGACCAGCAGGGATAGATAAGCGTTTGATTCAGCTTTCCTAAGAATGGGAAGACACTAATCGCACCATAATTGTTTACCAATTCAGCCAGAACATCCCTGGTGATACCTGCTCCCCCAACCCACCAGGAAACACAGCCACCTGGCCATTAGCTCCCCCTCCACACAGCAATATCATTTCATGATCATTGTTTTTTAATCTTTCAGTGGCACATCATCTTCTGATGGGAAGCTGCTGGATTACATTTCGGCAAGGTCAGGGGCACAGTTACTGTGGCAATTAATGCAGGATATTCATCGGGAAGCCCCCTGAGGAAGGCGGCCTAGCCCACCCCCCCCCAACATGAATACCAATGTGTAATTGCCATTTCTCATTTCTCCGCAGGGGTTCTTTTGTTATCCCTGCTGCTGAAGGGGAATAAGGTGGCAGGAGAGGGGGTATATATTAACCTCTCCTGCCACCCCCTCGCCGTCCTGGATCCCCAACACGTACAGACACACAGGAGATTGTCCAGCATCTGCTGTCTGCAAGTAGGAAGGTCTTTCCTGTGTCTGCTCATGGTAAAGCTAGCTTTGCATTTCTGCAGGCGGCTGCTGTCATTCGGGAGTACATTTTACACTCCACGTGCCCATGATGTATGGCATTATTAACTTCCCTGGGCCGCGCACATACATATGGATGGGCAGGGCTTCTCTCAGATGTCTGCCTAACTGATAGGTATTACGTGGCTGTGTGCGCAGTGGCCACACTCTGCTGGGCAGGCGAATGGCTGCACTGTATTGATATGCTATCAATAGCATCTATGTCACTGTGATAGCTTTCCTTTTGGAAAACCTGTTAGAAAAGGGCAGAGGAATCGATGTTCAAGGGGGAGTTGTCAGTTATCTGAGACTGCCATGAAATCACAGTCATCCTGTTTTATGATATCAGGCTGTCGAGCAGGAAAGCAAAATGGATGTTCCCTGACCCTCTCTCTTGACAAATCTCTCTTCCTGAGGACTGAGGAAGAGCAGAAGGTCTGGGTAGGAAATATCATTCTTATGTTGGCTTGGCTATGAGTACAGTTTTAAGAGAATGAATCGTGGAAGATATGTTTGCTGACACATCCTTTGTGAAATGAAGGAAAAGCACTGAAAACCCTACACTGCCGGCCATCCGTCTCACAGCCTGGGAGGGCCTCCTGTGGGGAAGGCATTGTGCTGGCCCCCAAGCAAAGATGAATAAGATGGAACTGGCTCTGTGACTTGGTGGGTTAAACCACTTGCTTGTAGCACCAGTATCCAATGTGGGCACCAGATCGAGACCTAACTGTTCCATTTCCATCCAGCTCCCTTGCGAATGTGCTTAGGAAAGCAACAGAGGCTGGCTCAAGGCCTTGGGCCTCTGCACGCATGTGGGAGACCTGGAAGAAGCTTCTGGCTCTGGGCTCTGGCCTGGCCCAGCCCCAGTCCTTATTGGTCATTTGGGGGAGTGAATCAACAAATGGAAGATTTCTTTCTATCTCTCCAACCCCCTGCTCTGTAATTCTGACTTTCAAATAAATAAAATAAATCTTAAAAAATGAACAAGACAAGCACTGGCTCTGAACACACAAATCAACAGGCTCCATGAGAATGTAAACTAGGCAAGATCCTGTGGCCAAACACAGGATGCAAGGAAGAGTGGACGCAGTGGGAGCTGAGGTCACCATGGGTGGTACACAGAATGGGGACGCCACTAAGTGATGGGCAGAAGGTAAAGTTGGGAGGAGGGGCGTTAATGCAGCTGGGGACATGCCAGTGGTGGATAGACATCACACTGTAGAGGTTGTCCTCCAGGTCAGGGTCAAGGCCAGAGATAACAACTGTGGATTATCTCAGAACAGGCGCCAGGATGAGACTGGAGGCGAAAGCAGGAAACAGGACACAGAAGAGGGTGAAGTCAGAGCCAGAAAATACAGATGACAAGGCCACTCCGGCAAGTGGCAGAGTGTTGGTCATGTAGGGATGGGAAGATGAGGTGAGCAGGTACACGGAGCTCAGGATGCTGGGCAGGGAGGGGCTTCTGTCAAAGCCACCAGGATAGCAGTGGGAGCTGTGAACACAGGGATTCCTCAGGATGTTCCAGGCAACTTCAGGTCTTCTTACTCACGGTGTGGACACTAGCAGGGAACGAATTCCTCTCTTCCCAACATATACACATCGGGCCCCAGATCTGCAGAAACCACTCCCTGTCCCTCCCCTCTCTTCTCTGGGGCAGTAGGTGGGAGGGACAAGAAGCTGCAAAGACAGATGCAATAGATTCACAGCGCAACCCAGAGTGGGCAGTGCTTGTGGGAGGGACCACAGAGCTGAGCTGGGGTCCTGGGCGGAAAGCAGCAACAGGTGAGTGACCATGAGGTGAAGCCTGGGAGTCCCAGGCCCCTCTGTGCAGAGCCCATCGGGAGCAGGCAAGCAAAGGAGGGCACCCAGGCCTCCCAGTGCCTTGTCTCTATGTCATCCTGTGGGTGGGTGTCTCTGATGTTCTCATCTGTTAGGCCGCATTACTATCCTGTCTGTGGATTCTGAATGCACAATAGAATCAGTGCCCACCTCGGACCTTCAATGAACTTTCATGATCAAGAGCAGCAGCATTTGGCATTCCAGGTCAAAGCTGCCTTGGTTACCTCCTCTCTCCCCCACCCTCCACCTTTTGTGTTTTTGATCTTGCATCTATTCCCTACAAAAACAGATTTACTTTGAGGATGAAAATAGCTAGAGTTCTATAAACACTGAATTCTTCCAAGAGTGGAAGCGCACAGGGAAGGGCTTCATGTGTAGTGTCTTGCACCCAAGTGCTGATGCCATGAAGTAACTCGCTGTGTCTCGGTTCCCCCCAGATCCCCAGGACTGGCAAGATAAAGTGGTGATGCACAGACGTCTCAGCCCTGTGGGGACTGTCACAGCTTCTTGCTTGCTTTTCCTCCATCAGGAAAATGGAAAGGGCTCCTGGGCTCAAGTACCCACAATGCAGCTATTGGTTTTCTTCAGGGCATTGTGACCTGGTCCTCTGTGAGCCCAGACTTCGATGGGCTGGGCTCCAAGGCCCCAGAGAACCCCAGCAAGTAGTCAGGAGTTTTATGTCCGGGCAGGTTTGTCTGTGCAGGGTGTAGGGTTTCTATCTCACTGTAGTCTATGAACTCCCCCGGTCCAGAACTCACGGACTTTTCCAGGTGTCATGCCAGCACTGCCCACCGCCCATGTCTCTCCAGACGAGGTGTCAAAGGTGCTGTAGGCATCCTCTGATTCCATGACCTCTGTGCATCCATTCACTGTCTTGTCAACTAAGTGATGCCACCACAGGACAGGTACTCAACCTCCACAATCAAGAATGCCTGAAGCAGCCAGCACGAGAGAACCTTCCAGAACGAAAACACGGAGACTCACCTAAACTGGCGACAAAGAGGATACAGTGTTCGGGATGTCACCCAAGTACCAATGCTGCATGCCCTCGAGCTTGTGAATTGAGTAATGGAAAATGCTAACCTAAGACACTCAGAGCCAGTAGTTCACTCTGCCAGCTTTCATCTCATGGCCTTGGCCTAATTCCTGTTCACCTATAAGTTCCTGTCAGGAATCACTCCCTTCCTAGGAAACCCTCGGCCTGGTGGTCCTCATGTGTGTCCCTGGGCACTGCACATATTCCACTCTGACTCAGCACCCTGGGGAGTACAGACAGATGCACTTCTCTGTCTTCCCCCAAAACCTGATGCTCACTTTGTAGGCAGGTGCCACAACCCACTAGTTGGCCAGGACTTGACACTGCATGGACACTCTAAGGACACCTGTTGAATCAATCCTGGAAGAAAAGGAAGGATAGATAAAAACTTTAACAAATAGAAGTCTCGAGACTTTCTTTAAATCCCTAACAACTCATTTCCAGGGGTGAATTCTGACAAGGCTGGCAGAGGGGGCACCCTGCTGAGTCATCAGACAGCTTTGG